GGGAGTGGGAGGTCTGGGCCTCCCTTCTGAAGCTGCTGCCCCCGCGACCCGACCCCGGATAGGCGGAAGAAAATGGATGAATAGATGAAAATTTTAATGTCACAGGCACTTTAAAAAAAGCTCACTTCTCCACAGAACCTTATTTCAGAAGATCTGAAACAACCCTTTATTATCAGCTGCACCTCAGTGTATATTTGGGAATAATAATAGTGCTGTTTAACCTCCTGTATTGTATATAAAACAAGATTTTTAAGCTCACTTTGTCTCCTATTATATCATTTTTTAAAGAAAGATAGTTTGTTCAACAGAAAGTCTACTTGTTTATTTAATACTGCCTTTTTAAAAAAAAGATTACTGTAACTTTTTAATGTTTACACCATATTTAACTGCCCAGTGTTACAAACTACTACTGTGTGTTTGGTGCCAGAAAAGAGCTCAGTAAAGCCGTCACYTTTACCCTTCACAGGAATGTTAGCCTTTAGTTTAGTTTAATTTAGTAATTCTTGGATTTTAGAGGTCATTAGTACGCTGGAAATWGTTTTTGCTCCAGAGTTTGTTCTCTTCATGCATCACATCATTTATAAACATTCTGGTCCTGTTTACTTGAATTCATTTTATTGTTGTGAGGGGAATGACCCAACAAAACTGTAACTTCAACATCATGCACCTGAACTGTTGTTTTCTCMCATCCTACGGTGTACCGTCGATTCTGTGACTCCTCTCCTTCCCACCAGGCGGCGCTGTTTCTCTGTCATCACATGTTTGGTGATGTGCTCAGCACAGGGTGTGCACACCCTTATGGATGTATTAAACATGCACTTACTGTAACAGCAAACTGTGAAGGAAGATTCTGAGCGACTCGCGGTGATGAGAAAGTGGGTGACAAACACTCTATGTTTTTCATGATTTTATTTCAATATGATGCTTGGTTTCTTAATTTATCATTTACTGGATGGAGACTCACTGAGGACTTTTGACTGTGAGGTACAATCGCCTGGCCTTGATGGCAAACCCTGTGAAAAGAATCTTTCAGTCCTACCTTTGTACTTTGACAAAAAAGCTGTTTGTACTCAAATGTGGAGCATTATTGTTTTTATGTGAAAATAAATTTTCTCAAGTTAATTTTGTTTCCTTTTATTCCACCAAAAAAATCGTTTTTTCATTAAAAAATAACAATAGTTGAATCCAATGATCCGAGATTATTTAACCCAACTGCATTTATGATCTTCTGATTTAAAGAGTGACAAAGAAACAGCTCAGTATTAGCAGGTTGTTGGATGGTTGCAACTCTTCACAGTGCGGTTTCAGAGGTAATTAAGTTTGTCTGTGAGCTGTTCATCAGTGGTTCTTGTCAGGTTCTTTGCTTTCTAGCTTTAATACCTCACAAACAAAATGTCAGCTTTGACCTGATGAGGAAAGAAGACGTCTGTTTCTGGAAGTCTTTGGCTTTTTCAAATGTCACAATATTGAGCCACACTTTGAATGTTAACAAACTACAGAAAGCTTGAGATTGACAGGTGATTAAATGCCAGGCGCCCTCACAAATCAATACAGAAGGCAAAAGGAGTGATGATTTCTGTTTTGGACAATGATTTAGTCATTTTGTGCTTTATTTTTTATTTTTTTTCTGGGATTATAGATATGTGATTCTGTCTATAGGAAAAAGAAAGGTTGGTTTTCTGCAGTGACACAGAGATAATCTGACATTTGCCCTTCAACCTGAAGATTTTCCTCTCATCAGCACCACAGCTCAGAGAAACAGCCAATCCATCTGCTCCTTAATCCAAAGTGACCGCAGCCAAACTTTGGAGATTATCAGTGTAAATTTGCTCCTACTGTCACTGTGAAAGGCCCCCCCCCCCCCACCCCTTTTTTTTTACTTTAATGAAATAAAGTTGTTTAGTTGACTGGATTCATGAACTGGGGAAAAAGGCAGATTATTTACTCTATGATGATTTCTCTTAACACCATACTCCAAGTCAGAATTGTGACAGAAAACAGCAGGAGTTTTATTCTCCAATGATTATTCCCATGTCTCTTATTTTGAAAAATTTACAGGAAGTTTCAGTCAGCTGCGTTTGACAGCGACCTGAATGGCTCCAAAGCTGCTGCCACCTCGGAGGCGCACGGGCTGTTCTTTCCACTGACACTTTCTCATCTTGAAAATGTGACTTTTTTTCTTTTCTTTTTTCTTTTCTTTTACTTTTTTTTTTTGCATTGATTCGATTTCAGACATCAGTTTCGTGTTTGTTTTACCCAAAATGGAGTGACGCGCAGTGGATCGAGCTGGGGATCAAAGTTGGGCTGCGCGCTGGGATGGCACGTCGGTGGTGGTGGTGTTGGTGGTTTGCCCGCTTGGACGGAGGCTCTTTCAGTCTGCCATGGTCTCAGTGTTCGGGGTGAGTCCGCCTGGGGAACGATGGAGCAGAGGAAAAGACTTTTCTACTATATTTTCTTCGCGCCGCTGCTCTGGCTCAGCTCGTCCCAAGTCCTCCGAATCGGTAAGCGCAACAGCTGTTTACGCACGGCGGGGTTTGGGTTCACCTGAGCAGAATCAGAACAACAGGCCAGCTGGTGTGYAACACTGCTCTAAGTTTTGTTTAATTTTCCACTGTTTTATGTCCTGAACACATGGGGTTGCTGTGATTAAAGAAATTAAAGTAAAACCATTCTCCTCTCACTTGAATCGATCCATTTGACCAGATTTTCTCAAACTAGCAATGGAAGTTCATATTTTTCAAAGCAAATCTGATCAAATGACTTAAAAGATCAAAGTTGAAATTGTATTATTRTAATTTTAATAAGAATATTTTTGTGATATTATTTGCAGATTTGTTAAAACATGGCTAAATTTAGTGTGTTGTTAAACTAAATATGTATTGGGGGCTATACTCTCCTCACCTCACCATCCTCAGTCCTGCTGTCATCAGTCTGGAGGAGTCACTGCAGCTGTGATCAGACATGTAAAGGCCTGTGTTTATTGTCCAGCGTTTAGGTGTTGAATTTGATCAAAGACAAGAAGTAATGTCTGAATCAAAGTCATGATTAAACTAATAATTTGTGTCATTTTTACTTGTTTTTAAACTTGAAAAGTACTCCACAGTTTATATTACACACTTGGTTTTTGGCTTTACTTTATGGTCACAATGGTAAATGTTTTGCACTTCATGAAGTCCTCCAATGACACCAAAGTGCCTCACACACACACTTCAATCAGTTAACCATCCATTCACACACTGATGGTAGCTACAAAATAAATACTGACAGAGATGATGACGTCGATACGTTGAGTCATTTCTACCTTCTCCCCTCTGTCAGTGGGCTCTAGTTTCATTTAAAAGAGTCGATCATCATTGTCCAAGATTAACTTTCAGGGTGGATATAGCTCACTCACACGTCATCGTTTACCCAGAATGCTTTGCATGTAAATAAAATGGCTCAGTCTGTGTTCATATATATTTTTAAAATTTTACAAAACTGAACATCCTACAGTATTTTTACAGTCTTTATTTTACAGTTAAAATATATGTTTATCAAATAAAGTCTAATGTTCCAACTAATCATGGATCCCTTTTAGAGTTTGTGTTGTGATGACTATACCGCCACAGCTGCTTTTGTGTTTTACATAGGTTTAGAGAGCTGTGACTGTCATCTTGAGATGGGTTTGCAAAAATAAATAAATAAATAAATAAATAAATAAATAAATAAATAATAGAGAAAAAATAAAAAGTCCATAGTAGATGTACATACAAGTCTTTGAGAGCATTAAAATTTGGTTTTTTTGAACATTGAACACAAAATATTTAATTTAAGGTGACTTCTCTGAAGATCTTTTCAAAGAATTGTTGAAAAGAAAAGAAAAAGTAAAAKCAGTAAAACCCAACAATCCTAACCAGAGACTCAATAACTTGTGGGAAAATACTTTGGCTCTGGTTACTTCCTCTTTTTGTTTTTCAACTCAGACCCAATGGCCCAAAATATATATTTTTTGTTTTTCCTTATATCTAATATCTCTTTTTAATACCTTAGCACTGAAATGCATTAAAGATTTGTTGTTTTTGTACCTCCCAGACCACTCAGGTCGTCTGGTTCAAACCCACTCAACATCTCCAGAATCAAAGCAACATGGAGAGGCAGTATTCAGTTTTTATGCTCCACTAATCTGGAACAAACTCCCAGAAAACTGCAAGAATGCAGAAATCATGCATTCTTTTAAATCAAACTTAAAAAAAAAATCATTMGTTTAGAGTTGACTTTGACTGTTCTATTTAAAAAATTAACTAAACTATTTCAGTTTGTGGTCCAACTTATCTCAAGTTTCCTTTATTATGTCACTGTAATGTGTTTCTGTTTTGTCCTTACAACACTTAGAGTTGGCAAAAAAACAATAAGAAAGAATGAAAATGAAAACAGGAAGATATATTTTATTTTTAACCCATGCCATTCTTGACACGCTCTGGTCTGTGTCAGATTCCTCTCGGCACAAACAGCATTYATTCCTTTGTGTTGAGGTCCAGCTGCACATGCAGAGGATTTACGATGAGGGGTTTAGCTCTGGGTCACATATTAATATTCAGGGCTGTTCGAGACCAATCCGTTCGGCTTCAGTGGTTCAGCTCAGGCCCTTTGAGCAACCCAAGTCCAGAAATTCCAGACTCTGGAATATCTGCATATACATCTGTGCTATCGGTGCTTAAGAGACTTGAAATTGCAGGAGTGCAGAGTTTGACTTTTTGCAGTGATGTCCTCAAAATAAACATTTATCAACATTTTACCAGCTAAAATTTATTTTGAGAATCTAATTTTTTCCCAACAATTTAAAGCGAGAGGAAATAGAAATTTGATCTCATGTTCGTTCTCACTAGAAACTAAAACTCTGTACACATCTGATTTGATTTATTTTGATCTAGTCTGAGACAACATCTCATGATGTTAAGCTAGTTCTGAAGCTAAATTTTCTTTTATAGTTTTCTTTTTTCTTTCTCTTTGTTAGTACAGAACAGATTTAATTTGTTGTGCACGTCCACTTTACGAGCTCAGAACCAACTGAGAGATAACATTTAAAAAAAGCTGTGATGGCAACTCCAGGATTGTTTATGTCATCTTACAAAACCCTTTTCAAGCTCTAAAATAATTGGTATAGTGGGGAAAAGTTTTATTATTTCAATATGTCATAAATGTGTTGGTCTTCTGCATCGCAAAGCAAGGTTCTAATATTCGTATCTCCTTGAATTAGCATCCATTTGTTTCTAGACTTAATACATAAAAAGTAAAAAAAAAACATATCAGAATGTGAGTGCATGAAGAGAGGCACTCAAAATAGTACATAATTATCTCAGGTGCTGCCTGTCTTCTTGGAAAATTGCCCCCCCCCCTCCCCCCAACCAATTATTTCCTTGTGCTTTTCCTTTCCTTTGGTTCCTTCACTTCAGTCTTTTCTGATTACATTTTTTACTTTGTTTACTGATAGTGTTGTTYATGTCAATTAAACTGTACAGGATTCACGTCGGTTTGTTTGTCTCTTCTGTGGCAATGATGATAGTTGCATATATGCAAAAAAAATTGTTTTATTATCATCATTTTTTTTATTTCCATAAGGCATTATCATAAAAAACATTGAGGTTGCAGGATATGGGTAGAAAGATTATTGGTCATTTGAAACAAGGTTGCATTTTTACTAAAACAGTTATTWTTTATCAACCCAACACCCGAATGTACTTAAGCAGACATTATGATTTCACGTAAAAATTTTGTCTCATTTTCTTCAAATGAGACTCTGTAATGCATTCGTTTCTGTAATGAGTTATGAATCATCTGCATCCCTATGTTTGTAGCAAACATTTTGAGGAAAGGTCAACTTTTTATGCAGCAGCCAGTTAATTAAACAGTGTGAGTGATTGTTGGAGCAGCTCATTTAACATCAATGTTTTATTGCAACATGTCTGAGAGAGTCAGACTTTATAGTGTCACAGTTGTGTTTCATTATGGCGCAGGACAGAACACAGGTACTAAATATGGTATTAATAGAGAATTGTTGATGATTATTTCCCCTTTTCTTATATTGAACACTCAAAAGAACTTACCTTTACCTCTCTTTTTTAACCTCAACATATAGCGATTAGTATTGAGCACCCAAATGCTGTAGAGAGCAATGCCATTGTGCTTCTTTTGCATTTGTCTGTAGCATTAGTAAAAAATCTTTTAAAACAGTGGACAGAATCTAATGAAACTCTCAGAAGATAATCATCATTAGATGAACTGAAGAGTCAACCCAATTCCAGTCACCTTGCTGCAGATATGTGACCTTATCAAACACATAAATGTCTGTAACTCTGTCAATTTTACTTATTTTGAGCTAAAATTTGGTTTGGTTGTAGATGAGCATCACCCACAACACACACTCAGTTCATGCATGAATTCATGAACCACTGAATGTATTTAAGGACATTTTCAGAAAAAAAGTTTGGTTGTTCATCCACAACCCAAATCGTAATATTTGGCTGGCCCAAACAATGCACTGACACTTGGCCCAGATTCTTTACCGTGGCTTTTGATGGCCCAAATGAGGTTTGCCAAAGGTGACCATGCATGGGCCAGCATCACATAAACCAAACTACAACTGGGTCATTAGTATCACTGAAAGTATCGGGCCACACAAACMAAACCACAACTGGGCCAGTAGTAGCACTGACATATTTGGGCCACATAAACCAAACCACAACTGGGTCAGTAGTGACATTGACAGATTTGGACCCCATAAACCAAACCACAACTGGGCCAGTAGTGGCATTGACATATTTGGGCCACATAAACCAAACCAGAACTGGGCCAGTAGTGGCACTGACATGTTTGGGCCACATAAACCAAACCACAACTGGGCCAGCAGTGACATTGACAGATTTGGACCCCATAAACCAAACCACAACTGGGCCAGTAGTGGCACTGACATATTTGGGCAATATAAACCAAACCACAACTGGGCCAGTAGTGGCACTGACATAT